CACCCCCACAGCCGCAAAGGGGGTCTCATTGGACTTGCAGCCTGCTCCATAGCTCTCGGTAAGGACTCGGGACTGTATCTGAAGGAACTCATCGAGCCTGTACTCACGTGTTTCAATGACTCGGATAGTCGCCTACGCTACTATGCATGTGAGGCTCTCTATAATATTGTCAAAGTTGCCCGAGGAGCTGTACTTCCTCATTTCAACCTGCTTTTTGACGGCCTAAGTAAACTTGCGGCCGACCCAGATCCTAATGTGAAAAGTGGATCAGAACTACTGGACCGACTGCTTAAAGACATAGTGACTGAAAGTAACAAGTTTGATCTCGTGGCGTTTGTCCCGTTGCTGAGAGAGAGAATCTACTCAAACAATCAATATGCCAGGCAATTTATAATTTCCTGGATTCAAGTCTTGGAATGTGTGCCAGACATTCACCTTCTGGATTACCTTCCTGAAATCCTGGATGGGCTGTTCCAGATTTTGGGAGACAATAGCAAAGAGATTCGTCGGACATGTGAGGTGGTGTTGGGGGAATTTCTTAAGGAGATTAAAAAGACTCCCTCCAGTGTGAAGTTTGCAGAAATGGCCAACATCCTTGTGATCCATTGCCAAGTCGCAGATGAGAGCAAACTTACCAACGACCTGATTCAGCTGACTGCTATGACCTGGATGAGAGAGTTCATCCAATTGGCAGGTCGAGTAATGCTCCCTTACTCCTCTGGTATTTTGACAGCAGTTTTGCCTTGTCTCTCATATGACGACAGAAAAAAGAACACAAAAGAAGCTGCCAGTTCCTGCAATCATAGTCTGATGAAACTTGTGACCCCTGAGGATGATGATGATGAGGAAGAGGAGGTGAAAAGTGAAAGCACAGGTTCGCCGTCTCGAGAGGAGCCCAAAGTGCAGTCAGATGGGAGTGACATGTTAAATGCCTCACAGGAGTCTGTTGGTTTTAGCAACATTAGCTTCTTTACCCCAGCTAGCACAGACCGACCTCAGGTGACCCTTGACCTGGATGGTATTGTTCAGGTGCTTGACCGCCACCTCCACGACTCTTCCACGGGCATGATGACACGCATAGCAGTTCTAAAATGGCTCTACCACCTCTACATCAAGACACCTCGCAAAATGTTTCGTCACACCGACAGTCTTTTCCCTATGCTCCTCAAAACTCTCTCCGATGAGTCTGATGAGGTCATTTTGAAAGACCTGGAAGTTTTGGCTGAGATTGCCTCATCTCCTGCAGGGCAGACAGATCTGACAGGGTCATGTGACAATACTGACAACAAACTGGAGTTAAAGGTTCCTGACAAGTCCGGACAGCATCCAAGTGCAAAAGCAATTGATTCATCCCCTTCTACTCCAAGTATGAACTCTTATTTCTACAAGTTCATGATCAACCTGCTTAAACGCTTCAGCTTGGAGAGGAAACTATTGGAAAACAGAGGGGCATTTATTATCAGGCAGCTCTGCTTGTTACTTCACGCAGAGAACATCTTTCACTCAATGGCTGACATATTGCTCAAAGAAGAAGACCTCAAATTTGCCTCCACCATGGTCCAAACCCTGAATACCATTCTGCTCACTTCTGCCGAGCTCTTTCAGTTGAGGAATCAGCTCAAGGACTTGCGTACCCCAGAGAGCTGCGCCTTGTTCTGCTGCCTATATCGATCCTGGTGCCACAACCCTGTTGCCACAGTATCGCTTTGCTTCCTTACACAAAACTATAAACGTGCCTATGATCTTATTCAGAAATTTGGAGATCTAGAAGTGACTGTAGACTTTCTCATGGAGGTAGACAAACTTGTGCAGCTCATAGAAAGCCCCATCTTTACCTACCTGCGTCTTCAGCTGTTGGATGTGGAGAATAATCCGTATCTAATAAAGGCACTGTATGGTCTGCTGATGTTGCTGCCTCAAAGCCAGGCCTTCCAGCTTCTGTCTCATCGCTTGAGGTGTGTTCCAAACCCAGAGCTGATGCGTACTGTGGATGAATCCAAGTACATGGACTCTAAACAGCAGGTGGCATCTAAACGTGCTTCTCATATTCAGATCGACTACAACGAGCTGCTGCAGCATTTCGACCGTGTCCAGAGCAAACACCTGGAGGTCAGACACCAGCGCTCAGGACGGGCCAATGAGCACTCTGACAGAAAGATTATTTAAATATATATGCCAGGTATATGTAAATCTATATGTGAAGGAAAAAAACACAAACATTCCAGTGTGGAAAGTGTATTGTAATTATTGGATTCTAATAAAACCAAATTGTAATTATCATATTCATTGTACATTTACAAATTGTCTAATAAAGTGTGTCATGTGAGATTTTAATTATGAAAGCATCTCTTTAGTGTTAACAAAATGTAAAAAAAAAAAAAAAAAGCGATTATTGTTCACATTAAATTCCTTTTGTTTTTTTTCTGTTTGCTTTTTTTTGTTTGTTTTTAAATTTCACAGTATTTGCACTGGTCACACAATTGAGTACTGTATCTGAATTCTTTTCCTTGCATGAGTCACTGTTACAGCACTGTCAGGGTGTGACCAGCTGACCAAACCACATGCTCTTATTGCCTTATTTGAGATCAGATGCTGTTTTAATCACGTTACACTTTTGGTGCAGCTACATGTGGCATTTCACTTCAATTTCGCTTCTTTAACATTCTTTAGTTGAACTGCACACCTTTGGTGTAATGATTTTGCATTCAGGAGATTATTTGCACTGTCATTGTTTAAAAAAAAAAACTAATAAAGTGTAATAATCAAAATCTACACTGATTGCTCCTCTTTTGAATTTTGGATAAAAAAATGCATATATTTTATTGAATAAGTTCTATATAATATTAAGAGGTCTCTATATTTTCATGCCTGGAAAATACTGTTTAATCAGAAGATGTAAAACCTCTGTCAGTTGAATATCCCTTATAACACATTTGGAAACAGCTGTACTGAAAGGGAGTGCTGGTCACAGACTAAATTACATCATGCTTTGTGCATTTGCATGTGCTCATTTGGATACTCCAGTCCTTGTGTTTTAATGGTCGGTCATATGGTCATATGATCTGGCCCTCTCTCTGCTCTTGAACACATAGTACATAGTGTACACATAGCATGTGTCAAACCAGGGAGACCATCAGAACTGCACACAACAGAAGTTTCACAGATGGAGGCCGATGTATCATACGAGGCTGTAGAGGAGTCTTTTTGCGCTGTTTGTGAGGAAATCTTTTTGGCTCCACTTGTCCTGAGCTGCATCTATTGTGAACGTAGCTTTTGTAACTATTGTTTGGAACTATTTTGGATTGAATATGGCACCAAAGAATGCCCCCTCTGTTTTAAAGATAATTATGGACTTCCCCATAAACCATGCCTGGTTCATGCAGAGAGATTGTCTCTTCTGTGTGTAACTGAGCTGGAGCCTTTGTGTCATGCCTGCCGCTCCACCAGCCTCCACATGGGTCACACTGTGTTCCTTATAAAAGAGGCATTCAAGGACCATAAGGTAAGCATAAGAACACCTGGTCAAGTTTCAAATATCATTCATATTTTAAGCCTTTTGTTTCTAAAAGTAGAACTAAATCCTCAGGACTGTCGCAACAAAAACACATTTAGACACATCCAAATATATCACATTTGTTACGGCTCACAGGCTTAGTAGAGTATGCACAGAAGCCAGCTCATTATCTCTGTATTTGGTCTGTCTGGGTGATGTATGTTCATTCATATGCACAGGTGCGACCAGGGCCGCAGACATGCTTTGAATCAAAAAAAGAAAAATACAGATTGCAGTAATACAAAGTCAAACACGTGCCAATTATTTGTTTGTAAGGAGGTTAATGTTGACTCTGGTTGCTGACTGTAATGGCTCTTGACACTGGCAAGGCTACAAATCAAATTTACTCTTTGGCACATAAGCAATATGTGCACTGAGTCGGTAGGACATGGCCTTCTACGAGGTTGACCGAAGGGAAGCCTTTGGTTCTAACTTATTTACTGCTGTTGTTGAGGAGCAAAGTGAGCTAAATTTAGATAAGCTAGAAATTAAACTCCCGCTGGTTCTAAGACAAACTGCAAATCCAAGCTGCGTGATGCAGGGCAGACCTTATGAAAAAGCTGAAGCAGCACAGGTCCATTTTTTTCTGAAGGGAGGATCATATTCCATCTCACCCTATTTTTGGTGTTGCACAGAGTAGCACCCAAAATAAAAAGTCTAAGTAAGGTCAGCTAAGTGGGATTAATACAGGTATTTTAAATGATAAGTGATAATGCATCTTTGTAAAGGACAGGTTATGAAAATCAATTTTGCAAACATAAAATCATGTAGTACTATATTAGTGTATATATACATATTATTTCACATAGCCAGAATTAAAAATGTTCAACTACTGTTAAACCTAAAAATAAACATAATGCATGTATTGTTCACCCACATGGCTTGAGTCCAAGTCAGATTCTTCTATTTTTGCCCTGACGCCGGGTCTTATCTGGGATATTGTTTCTATGTAAATGCTTTAATTACAGAGTGACAGGTCATTTCAACACTCTTCTCAAATATCATAGAGCAGGCCACAGCTTAGGGTCAGACAAAAGAGAGTAGGGGACAAATGTGTCACCTGTTTTTTGTAACTTTTCAGATCTGATATGGCCCTATATACCTCTCAAAGCTTATTTTATTGTTATGCAGGAGTGTTTATTTGTGAATGAGCAATGTGCATTCTCAAACCAGCAGTGCATAACAGGGGATATGCCTTTGGGAGTGGCGGAATTAACACTTAAAGCTGGGGTTAAGATGAGGTAGCTTGTCATAAGCGTGGGAGGGGCGGGGACAGAGCTGGTTGACACTACGAAGCCCCCTTGGGGAATACTAAAGAATGGCCACCAGACATGCCTATCAAGAGGACGACCTTTGCTGTACTGTTTGTGGACTCATTCTCAGTCAGCCAGTAGTGCTCACTTGCAAACACAGATTCTGTAAAGTGTGCCTGAAGGACAGCTTTGAGAGCCAAGGCGGAAGGGATTCACACTACTGTCCACTGTGTTGGCACCGCTCATCTATGGATCAGATAGTGGTGAGCAGTGTTTTGGAAAAGACCTGTGAGAGGCTTAAGGACGAAAGGCGACAAGGTGATCCAAACGCGTGTAAAGAACATGGGGAGAAACTCAGTCTGTTCTGTGTGGAGGACCTCCAGCCCATTTGTGGCCTTTGTGGGAAATCAGCTGCTCATACTGGACACAAGATCTACCCCACAGCGGAAGGAGCTCAAGACTGTAAGGTAGGTTAGAGAAGTTAGAAGTAGAGAAGAGTTTGGCACTGTGGTATGTCTCACTTTCATTTTGGACATATAAGAATCACGTGCGAGTCATAAAACAGTCAAAACAGAATTTATTTTCTGTTCACTGAAACTGATTTACTAACCTCTTGTAAAGGGCTTGAAAGTGCAAGTTTACTTGTGTCATTGAATTAAAACAATGGTATTTGAAATCTGAGAAGTGAAAATGCTCTTTATCTATATCACTTAATTTGAAAATCAGAGATTGACTACCTTTGTATTAGGCACCTTTACAACAAGTGTCATGTTATGGGCATATACAACAGAGGCATTCCTATACAACCAGTAATGCATATGTTGATTCAGGTTTGTGTGAAGATGTATGCCACTGTTTATTACCTCTAAAAATAGATTTATATTTTGGGGTTGTCATTGCGTTGGTCTCTGGGGTCTGAAACTAGAGCCCTATTTTGGGGTCACATTCATTTTACTGCTGTCATTTTATATGGGGAAACCTTGAACAGAACATCAAAAAACTACAGGGGGCCATATTGTATCCCTGTTTGAACTCAGTGCACAAGCTCAATGTGTTTGTACAATCTATATCAAATGCTCCTTCAGATGTTTGTGCTCCTATTTGTCTGCAATGCAAACATGCCTTTATGGGCCTATGAAGGGAATGTGACAGCTGAAAAGTGCTACATAAGGTTGACAGCCTGAGCTACACTATCTCCCTTATGTGTGTTGACTTTCTCTGTTTTCTTATAGGAGGAACTGAGGACAGCTCTCATACCTCTGAAAGAGAAGTTGAATGTTTTCAGGAAGGCCAAAAATGTGTGCGAAGAGATGGTTGAGCATGTCAAGGTAGCCTGGAGTTTGAGAGTGAATTTATGTTGACAGGTGATATTGATCATCCTTCTTGTCTTTGTAGAACCAGGCCGAACACACTGAAACACAGATCAAAGAAGAGTTTGAGGAACTCCATAAGTTTCTCAAGGAGCAGGAGGCCATACGACTTCAGGCCCTATTAACAGAGAAAGAGCATAAGAATCAAATGATAACGCAGAACATTGAAGATATAAACAGTGAAATTGCGTCACTTTCAAACACCATAAAAATTGTGGAGCAAGAAATGACAGCTAAAGACATCCCATTTCTTCAGGTAGGCTACTGTATTTATTATGCAAGTATAATGTGGAATTGTGACATTAATTAATTTCATATTTTTCTCAAATGTTTCTTTAGAACTATAAAGAAACGATCAAAAGGTAAATAGAACTTATAATTAATGTTGATGAAGCTTTCCATGTCTGAATTTGCAATTAAAAATTTAATACCTTTGCAGGACCTGGAGAACTACTCTAGATCCACAACTGATCTCTGGATCTCTCATTGATGTGGCCAAACACTTGGGCTCTTTGAAATTCAAAATATGGGAAAAGATGAAACGCATAATTAAACATTGTAAGCTGCAGCACATAAATCAATTTAATTTCTGAATTTTTAAGTTTTACCATTATAACGATTTCATTTACCCCTTAGATCCTGTGATTCTGGACCCCAATACTGCTGCCAGCTGTTTCATCCTGTCAGAGGACCTGACAGTTGTTCAAAACTCCACACAGATTTTTAAGCTGCCGGACAATCCAGAACGCTTTGACATCAGTGCAGAGTTGTTGGGTGCAGAGAGTTTATCATCTGGCCGCCACAGCTGGGATGTGGAGGTGAAGGACAACACCTATTGGGTGGTGGGTGTGGCCAGTGACTCCATCGACAGAAAGGGTAAGCATGTCTTGACGCCAGCCGGAGGATTTTGGACCATTCGGTTTCGTAATGAAGAGCACAAGGCCTGCACTGCACCCTGGGAGCCGCTGACCATGACCAAGAAGCCGGAGGTCATTCGAATAGTTGTAGACATGGACCGCTGCAAGGTGGTGTTTTATGATCCGGGAGTGAGAACACCTCTATACACCTTTAAAGATATTATTGCCTCCAGTGTGTTCCCCTACTTCTGCACTGCCTGCAAAGAGCATCCCCTGAAAATACTCCCTTCAAGGATTTTACTGTCAACAGACACATGAAATAAGTGGAAAAATAAATGTAAAAAAATTTGCCACCCTTGTATATTTTATAAATGACAAGAAACAAACATGAGTTTTAGGGGTTTAATAACAGTTAGGTAACAAATTGACTTTGAACAATTAACAAATGTAAGGACCCTAACAACTGACTAATAGAACATGTATTATAACACAGAATAAGCCACAATATGTGACTCAATGTTCATGGTTCTGCATTCACATGAAAACGTGAAATAAAATGATTTTTTCATTGCACATAAGGCACAAATTGTAACAGTCTGCATTTGCAAACCTCCACAAAGGAAACATCAAATGAATGAGGTCTATGGTTAGTGTTTGATCGAGTAGTCTCATTGTACTATGTGTTATTCTGGCTCTTACAGTAACAATAACCTCATAGCTGCATACAGACACATTTCCTGACCCAGCTGAACTGATCTTGTATTAAATTCTGTGCTCAGGCAAAACTCAAGTAACTGTAACCCTGGGACTTTTGCCCTTTACAAAACAAGCAACATTATTGAATAATGTATCATATTTCAGTCCTATTCATATGGTATAAATCAATCACAACTTTTAGAAGTTACTTAGTTATCCAGAGAAAATAGGACAGGGCGAATGCCCTTGCATATTGTCCTTTGTGTTACAGTGTTAAACATTACATTTGTAACAGCATTCTGACCACGCCTGCGTATCTCTCTCCCCTGAATGGTTTACAGTTTACAACTAGACCGGAGGAGCACCCAAACTAACGAATGCCAAAATGTGGATGTTGCCTTTGCAACTGTCCAGACAAAGCACGACACGTCTGCCCTACACAGTTATACTTGTTATAAAGAAACTTTTCCTTCTGTTATGGCATTGTACAACTCTTCATCAACAATCTCATACCGCGCAGCTCTGGAGTTTAAAAAGTAGATCCGGTCAGTTGTGTGCCTTGGGTCATATCCTTCTCGTTGCAGCCTTGTTTTCTGGATTTTAAATGTACCTACAAAAAGACAAAGTATAAGCAAAAAGTATAAATGTAAAGCTTTTGCTTCCTCAGTTTGAATCATTACCTGTGGTGTCCACTTGCGGAGACAGACGTAGGAACACCGGCCGGGAATAGGAAGGAAGAGCTTGCTGGGCTTTTTGCAGGAAACTGTTTGGGTCAAAACACCCTGTGGTGTCTGCTATGGCAGCCATGCCCGCTTTTCCTTCAACACCTGGGCACAAAAAATATAATTAAAAACAAAAGTGCAGGTACAGCTGACCATCATCAGATTTTATGACCTGGCACCGTGACCCCATAGACAGCAACATCTGTTTGACCCAGGAGGCTGCTCAGGATGCCCTCCACTTCAGTGGTGGACACATTTTCACCTTTCCACCGAAATGTGTCCCCACCGCGGTCCCGAAAGTACATGTAGCCAAAGTCATCCATGACCAGCACATCCCCTGGAGAAGCATTATAGAATTATTATTAGACAATGTGGTCAATATAAAGGCTTAACTTCTTTATTGTGATACAAATTAAATGTAATTATAAAACCTGATAAATAGGCTGTGTCATTTTTCTTGAACACATTATGAGCTATTTTTTTCTTTGTGGCTTCTGGGTTAGCATAGCCATCAAATCGTCGTAAAGGGTCCTTCTGATTGATTCGACCAACCAGAAGACCTGGCTCACCTGTTACACACAAATCTGTTAAGGTGAGTATTAAAAAGATTTCCAATGAACAAAGGAGAAAAGCTTTACCAGGCTGACATGGCACACAGAGGCCTCGGCTGTCCCGCACCAGCTCCATTGTGTCTTCATCTATTTTCACCAGACGTATGGGGTATACAAATGGCAGAATGCGGCTGTTGAATCCACATGCTCCAACCTAACAGGACAGGAAATATTACACTCATAACTCACACCATTTGGTTGTTCCTCTACAAAATTTAACTGACCTTGCCGTCCATGTTGGCAATGCTACAGTTACACTCAGTTGCCCCATAGAACTCTCCAATCTGTTTGATCCCAAAGCGCTGAGTAAAAGCTTCCCAAACGCTGGGGCGGAGGCCATTCCCCACAGCCAAACGAACCTTGTGCCTCTTCTCTGATGGTTGCACTGGTTGAGATAGGAGGTAGCGGCAGATTTCTCCAATATACTGGACAATCTGTACATGTACAGAGCTGTATTACTATTCCTCATCTTTTGTATACAATTACATTGACATTTACAAATTAAAGTCAAAATTCTTGGAACTCACAGTGCAGTTGTACTTAATGCAGTCATCCCAAAAGCGGCTGGCAGAGAATTTCCTCTTCACAACTACAGTAAGGCCATTGATCAGACACTGTCCAACTCCAACTATGTTACCTGAAATAAATAGGGTTATACAAGGACAAAAGTATTTCACAATCACAAGGAGGTTTAAATTGCATACCAGCGGAGTGGTAGAGAGGCAAACAGTCATAGATTATATCATCAGGGCGCATGCGGAAAGCAAAATACCCGAAAGCAGCAATCCTGTAGTAACTGTAGTGGCAGAAATAATGTTTGAAATACAATTTATTCTTGGGTTTCTGTGATAAAATACATACCGACTGTGAACCACGATAGCAGCCTTTGGCAGTCCTGTGGTGCCCGACGTGTAAATGTAAAATAGACGATCTGTGGAGTAATGCATTTATTATTACATTGGTACAAAGAGTCTTGTTACACATAATGTAACCTTTAGAGAAACTGTACTACAACAAGGAGTTATTGCTCTGTGAGCATATATAGATTCATTTTAAGTTAAGGCTGGGATATGAGTAAGCACTTACCATTCATGCCTTTTGCTGGATGACAGATTGATGGAGGGTGTCTGGCTGCAGACATTAAAAGTGGCTCCAGAGGTTGTGCTTTAAGGCCTGTCAGCTGAGCAGCACCAAGCTCCCCAGAGCAAAACCGTACCATTGATGGGTTAAGAGCAGCACTCACGTCCTGGATGGCTATTTCGTGAAGTTATAACAAAGAAAACATAAATATGCCCTATATACACACTTGATGTTGCGCTTAGGACAGTGGACTCTTACCATCGGCAAGTTCAGCTCCAAAGACAATAGCCCGAGAGCCTGACACTCCGAGGCAGTGGAGGAGTGAGTCTTGCCGAAGGTTAAAGTTGATCAGTGCAGCTTCAACACCGACTTTAGCCAAGCCCAGCCACAGAGCCACTTGCAGTGGCCTGCTCTCCATGAATAGAGCCACCACATCCCCAGACCCCCAGCCCTGGTCCTGAGCCCAGTGGGCCACTGCATTGGACAGCTCATCCAGCTGTGTGAAGGTCCAAGTCTCCCCAGTGGCTTCATAGATCAGTGCAGGTTTGTTTGGGTGCCGCTTTACCGTCTCGGCAAAAATGGAAAGAATGTTGCTTCCGTTTTTCATGTAACGCCACAGAGCCAACTTCACCCTCACCAGCACATATAGGCCACTGAAGGGAAACAAAAAGTGTTAGATCTACTCAAGATAATATTCAGTATTCAAGAAAAAAATATATAATTAATGTTTATGTAAATACATTGTTAAGAAAATGTTTTCAGCTTTTTCAGACTTTTATTTTACTTGACTATGGCTTTATAACAATTATAAAGCATGTTTTTTAAATAATACTGTTCGGCATCAGTGGCCTACCACAGTGCAGTTTGTCAACAGTTCTCAGTTCAAAAATATCTTATTTTTTCCAATGGTAAAGCTTGCAGTCTGCACTACAGTCCAGTAGGGATAATGTCTAGTGGAAGAAGAATGCTGAAGAACTTGTCACTTCATAGTTTCAAGCCAACTAATTGCCTGCATTGGGGCCTGTTGCTTTTACAAAACAAGCTATCTGCTTGCCTCCATGGAGGTATTATTGCTTCGCTTGGAATGTTCCACCCTATGCAATTAAACTCATCCGTCTAGCGTTTATTTAAATATGGCTATTTAAAAAATAGCTTGAGAAACATGGTCACCTCTTCGCAAATCTGACCAGTAATATGGGGGTTGTGCTAGCTGGCTCTCTCCTTGGAAAGTTTAGTGCCATACAATAAACACTGCAGGCAAAGCAAGAACATCACCATGGAAAAAAGATGGTACCAGAAAAGTTACATGCTGCACTTTTAAGACAATTTAACGGAATTCCCTTGGATACACTGGAGCACTTTGCATTACACTTTCCCTTGTACCTCAGATAGCTCTGCGCAGAAAAAAAAACACTCCGTTTCATTCATTTTAACTCACTGACCAACTCTGAGCTTACTTTAGATCTCTTTGGAACGTGCGAGCTGCGATGTAGAAGTATTTCCAACTCTTTGTTCCCAAGTACATCCCGAGGCCTGCTGCCAGGCTCCAGGACCAGGACACCCCGAAGAACCGCAGTAGTCCCAGGGATCCCAGAGAAGCCGAGACACTCGCCGCATTGTGCATTCTGTCAGCATGAAAACAGAGAAAGACAGGCTTTTAAGACAGAACTGGCCTCATTTAAACCCCACTCCACAGCTTCAATAGGTACAATCCGCACCATTATACCAGCGTTATTCCTTAGTAAAAACAATCAGACGACAATAAAGTTAGTTAGACAGTGCAATTTACATCCATTCACTGCATACAACTTACCTATGAGCCACAACTTAAAAGCGCTGCCACCTTTCACCCAATAATCCGATGTTAACTTTTGCGGTAACTTTCGATGTTTGTGTCCTCGTCTGTATCTTGAAAAACTGTGAAAGTACACCTGATAGATGAATTTTAGGTTTTTCAAAAGTTTGAACTAATGTCACTGTAGTTCCCACCGTTTACAGCAGACCGCTATGTTGTTCTTTAGCGTTCAGCGATGTTAAATAATGCCAGGCGAATAACATATATTTCAGAAAGCCGATAAATAAGAGTTGAGAGGGTTAATGAAAGGAACGACTGTCAAAAAGGCGTAATAAATTAAAACAGAAGCTATAGAAAGCAGTGAATCGACCGCATCTATTTTCTGTACTCCATATTGAATAGGGTCATTTCCAGAGAAGCACCGCCCACCCCGAGGGAGAGGCAACTGAGACAGGGTCGTCATTGGTCCATCTGAGTGCTTGTCAACATGTGCTTGATTTTGATTGGCCATTTGTTTCCGCCGCCCAATGGCTGAGTTGCAGGAATGGTTGCAGGTGATTCATAGTGGAGCCGGGTTCAGACTACAAATAAGTTCTGAAATCCGCTAAAACTTCTCAGCTGGCTAGTTGGCTTCGATCATTTCTGAGAAAACACGGTTTAAGCCCCCTTAAATGTACTAAATGAATTCAGTTTCACAGCAGCCGCCAACAAACCCATGTTTATTGCAATACAAATGTTTCCCTCCGTGAGTATTTAAAGTTAGTGAAAGTTCGTCTACAGCAGACTCTGAACAGCACGGTCCTCCTTAGCAGGATGTAAACCCACGGGTCCAGGATTTGGTTCCAGGAGGCCATGCGTAATCCCAGCAAAAGAAACCGATCAGGGCCCTCGGGTAAATCTCCTGAACTCTGGCTGGATTGCAGCACCAGAATATGAATCTAAATACAAAAACACACAAAATAGGCAATTATTTATTTAGAAATGTTAATATTTTGCAAAAATCTTCAGACGATTTACCAGGAATGGACTCCAGCACACACAGGAAACCACTGTAAGTACTGCCAGTTGCACCATCATCTCAACATCCAGGGAACAAAATAAAGAAGTTGAAGAGGCTGTTGAAGGTCGTCTTGCACAAGTATTATCAGATTTTGTGTTCACATATTGGGCTTTCCTCCTGGCCTGCAGCAATACCAAACCACTCAGGATGTTGCAGAGAAGCGAAAAGGCCAGAGCTGTAATCCCAAGACATGAAAATGCCAATGCCATGCCTCTATCTTGTCTTGAATGAGGAATTTGAATTTGTAAGAAACACCAAGTTCCTGGATGTTGGGCGGTGTACTTTCCAATATCAAATAAAGGCAAAATAGCAATTAAAAGTGCAAGAGAATACAATGATAGGACCACTCTGCGCACATGACCTTTAGTTATAGTGGAAGCATGGAAAAATGGGAAGCAAATAGCAACAACACGTTCTACTGCCATTGCACAACCCAGCAGCAATGGGGTGAGGCCAAAAAACACCATACTAGCTCCAAAAATTTGGCATAAAGTCTCATTGGGCATGTCTGGTTTTGGTTGATACATTTTGTTGATATGAAGTGACATTGCAAAAGATCCTGGGATCAAATGACCTCCAAGATCAGCAATTAGTAAAGCCACTGTTAATATCAAAAATGGTGTTTTAGATTGGCGGCGAAACCGGACACGAGACTTGACCAGGATTCCCAGCGCAGTGAGGTTGGAAATGGCTCCAAAGGTCATGGTGAAAAAGGACATTCCTAAACCTGAGAGTCGGAGGGATGTGGAGCTGCTGTTGGACAGAGCAGCGGGCACGGTAGAGGAGTTCATCCTGAAGCTGAGGAGGGGGGACATGGTCATCAGGATGGAGGGGGTCCTCATGGCCAGAGCTGTCTACAGAAAATCACAGGTCAGTAAATGTATAATGTTGTCATGCTCATATTTTAAGAATGCAGATGAAGAGAGCTGACTGTTACTTCAATATGGCACTGGTTAGTGATCATAATGTATTTACTAACTGGAAAATTGAGTAAATATCTTATTTGTCATGCACATTTCCACAACTGATATTGGTTGATCATCAGTTATTGTCGTTAATAAGAATAATCTTTATTCTTTATTATAAACACACACAATAATGCAGAGTAAGTCATGCATTATTATTTGTTCCTTATTTACTTGCTTTAGGCTTGGGTAATAATAACCTAAGTTTTTTAAATGTCAACCTACTCCTTTTGAGCACAAGAAATGGTCCCAACATATGCACATGTACATATCCTTGCTTTTGTAATGTACCTTATATACAGGCATGTTGCTCAAACAAATAAAAATGAAATGAAATACATGCTCTGTTAAACAACAGATTATGCGCACAAATCAGTTATGTTTTTGATAGTTGGACGGGGCTTTATTTGATTTCATGTTTGGGGGAATGAATTCCCCTTTCTCTGTGTTTTTGTGGGTATAGGATCCTATTGGATATAGGATTTTGAAGAATCTGGCAAGTGTTTGCAAGATTATAATAATGTGTAATCTGGGAGTGTTCCGGCAATGCTTTGGCTTGTTTCTCAAATTCATGACAACACTCCAAATGTGCTCTAGTAACCACAGATTTACAAAGTAAGCTCGGGGGTTTACAATCTTGTTTTGTTCTCAACATTGCTACTGTAATTGTTTTTGTAGTAAAATACTATGTATTTCTGAACTTGTTTGAAGAGAGTTAAAGTAAACTACAGAATTAGCAGATTGTTGACCTAATGAAGACACAGAGAGACTTTAGTTTAAAAGAGCCACTAAATAACCCATATAGTTGGTGCCTTTGATAATTCCACAGTGCACACATAAAACTACCATTTTCAGTTTGAGTGTGCGGCCCCATTCATCATTTAAGCCGTGATATATATGTGTCCTCTTAGAGATGTTATACAATTTTCCAGGTCAGTAGTAATCCAATACTGTTATGCACTTTGACCACACTCTTAATGTGGAAGTATACAGGTTCAGCTCAGGTCTATCCTGCTATTCTATCTGATCTGTTTACAAAGTACAACCAACTTTCTTGATAAAATATTTACACTGGCAAAATGTCTTTTTGATTGAAATTCTTTAACTACAAAATGTTGAAATAGTGCTGAAATTTAATGTAAATACATAAATACAATTTACTTTTAAAGGCTTCTTTCATAAGTAATTACTCCTGTATGGAATCATTGCTGTGGCACCATTTGAAAAAGAAAACAATATATGAAATATGAACATTTAGCTATGCCAATAGACAAAATATTTAATATATTGCCTAACACCAAACAGCAGCGCTGCTAGCTCAACAATTTAAGAGCATCTAAAGCAAGTGTACAGTAAAGGAACATTGATGAAAACACTTTAAAACACTTGGCTATGTTGTTTTTATCTATTGCATGCATTACAATGGCAGAGAGTCCGTACCTTTATAGCCATCCTCTCCTGAGCTGTGAGCGTGCTGTGAGTTCAGCTTGAGTTATGTGTTGCTACCTCAGAATAGTGCACAAAGTATATTGACCACGTATGCTGTTCGATGATTATTAATAATAAATGAAACTCACCCACTTGATGACTTCATACCACTGCTGATTTGTCAAGAATGGCTGAAAAATGAGAGCGCTTTGGGCATTAGGTACAACTTGGAAAATGGCACGTTTTGCGGTTTGTCATTGAGCTTGTTGTTTGTGACAGGTCCCTATCTCTCCTCCAGCGTTTTCTCTCCAGAGGTTTTGGAGTTATTTTATCTCGGCTAGATTTAAGTTTTCCACTCTCCTATTCCCGTCCTTTTGACTCATCTCACTTTCTCCGCTGTTGTGCAATAATGGCTCAGCTTTAAATTACTCTCTCAATCAATAATCTTCCCCCAAAAGTTCAAATGTAACAAAATACTTGTACATTTTGGCTAGGGATGAAATCACTTGTTATTTTTTAGCCCATTGTAACACTCATTATACATGTAAATTAGTATAGATCATATATTTCCAGGTAAATGTGCTTTTTTTTCTTGATTAAGATGGATGGAGGTAAACCATTCTCTGCTGTGGAGAGCATCATGGTTGAGATCTACTATAAACAGGAAGCCAATGAAAAAAAAACAAAAAATGTCCCATTTCCTTGTACCTAAATGCAATTCGCTTGTACTTTGGCAGTGAGGTTGTCTGCATACTTAGCTTTTAAATAATTAGCTTAAATGGGAAACTAACTACTGCTTAGTCCAATCAATAAAGCTCCACAAAATATCAATGATGTGAAAATATATTAGGTTAAGAAAGACATTTTGTTTACAACATTTACACAGACCTGCAGTATAAACAGTTTAAAGCACTTTGTTGATAATATAAACAGTTATGTACGAATAAGATCAGAATCCATATTTACATTCAAGGGATATTTCATAACATCTCATATAGGAAACATTTTACATCCATTCAAAATATAGTATATAGCATTACAGTGTACTACACATGCTATTGTTATGATTTGTATATCTAATTTGATGTGAAGTACCTATTAGACTGCACGAGGAGACTAGAAAATTACAGACTACTGGACCAAAATACAGTATGTGTTTAACAAAGGGCCATTTTCCTGACACTTTGCATTTCTAGCAATTCTAGAAACATTTTTAATTCTAACTGTTTAGGCTTTCCTATTTTGAAATTAACTGTGTCTAACAAAATGGAAAAAAGTTCAAGTTGGAATTTAAGCATTTTACAGCAGTGCAGTAAACCACCAGACCAGCAGCTCCAAGGCAGATGCTGATCTTTGAAATTACAGTAATAGTAGACTCCTCTCCAGTCCTCACTCTGCTTGTCACATATTTGAATCTCCTGTCTCTTGTGTGCTCCTGGTTCCCTATTAAATGCAGATGTTGAAATGTGTTTGTCTTTTTTAGTTTATTATATTTACTTTATTTACTGGAAATGTGAAATCCTTACCTGAGCTTTGGTGGTGTATCCAAACTCGGAGTATGTTTTCTTCTGTGGTGCACAACATCTAGCCAATATGTCTTTGTACTCATCTCTTACCTTATTGAAGAAACAAGTTGTTATTGATAGTTCATGAAGAACTAATTGTAATGTCTTATTTAACCTACCTGTTTAGAACATAAGCAATGCATAATAAAAATGAGAACTCCTTGAAGACTAGCAAAGATGGTGAAAAGGTACGACATGGCAATTGTTGTTTCCTCAAACTGGAAACAGCCAAAGATCCACATTGTTCCCAGTACGCAGAGCTGAGCCACTGCAGTGATAGTGAATGTCCTACAGAGGGCAACAAAACCATAGTCATGTAAAAGTAAATCTGATGCAACATAGAGCTCCTGGTCCAGATACTGGTGTCGTACAATAGAACAGTTTTGTTAAATATTTGAGTTAAAACATACTGATGTATGTTGTATGTAGATCTTACTTTATTTTTTGGAGGTTGTCAAGATCAGGATTTAGACTTGCAAACTTCTGGGCCAATTTCCACACAGTGATCAGGAAGAAGAAGATGTTGACCTATTGACCGACAAAGCCAGATTTAAACATGAACTCAACAGGCCTATTACAAGTTTGTGTAACTATTGTCCTTCCTTACAAAAATGATGACACAGGCAGGCCCAAAAAAAGCCCAAATAGAATCCAGGCTTAACCAGCAACTGCAAGGCAAAAATGTGGAACCTGTCAGCCCACTGTAGCCCAAAATTGAGGTATAAATTAGAAATAATGCAAGCTGAGCAGTGATATAGGGGGAACTCACTATCTCTCCGTGCCGTATCCCTTGACATTAGCTAGGGCCGAGATAGACACAATTACTGCTGGGACTCCATAGCCGGCTGCCATCAGGTAGACTGTTCTGAAGGAGGTGTTAAAGACCAGCACAACCATTCTGAAGAGCTGTATGCCCTCCAGACACATCCAGCAAAATGAAGCCAAGAAGAAGAAATGGAGCAGACCTGCTACCACTGCACAGCCGACCTAATGTGGAGTTGGAGTGACAGTGTTAAAAAAGTACAGTGCAGGGGAAACTCTTAGCCCTAAAAATATGGGAAAGTTCTGGTTGGATATGCTACAAATGCTGTGTCTATTTTCGTCACATTTTAGAGCAAAAGTTTGACAGTGAGTAGAGCCATTTTATTAACCTTCATGTCATGTAAGTAACATAGCTTTTACTGGCTTTGTTTAGCTATTCATTCTATGCATCAACCTTTGGCTATTTTCAACCACCCACCACTAAGGGTGTGCATTTTCTATAGTTGTCATAATACTAACATTTCTTGGTTTTGATACTAAGGAGTATTAATACATTTAGACAACAAAAGTAATAGTTGTTTCTTAAGTAGTACAATGCGGTCTTGTACTAGCTCTAATATTAGCTCAACATTGTTCTAAAACTATTCAGAAAAGTCACATTTAGTTTTATTTATGTTTTGTTTTTGTTTGTTTTTCTTCCTGTATCACTGAAATGAGTACATTGTTTTGAGACAAGTTCGTGTCTGGGAAGCAATGTTTATGTGAACTCTAGCATTTCCTATATTCATGCATCACAATATGATTATTGTTGTCTTTACCCTGTTTTCGGTGCGAGATATGCCGATCAGGAAAATGGCAAAGGCTAAGAAGAGGCTTATACTGAGATGCAGGTGGATCTTGGTTCTTTGACTCTGGATGGCGCGGATCAGCCCAAACGTCAAAATGCAGATGAACAGACAAACCAGAGACAGGGACAGGCCAATCCAAGTGATGAGCTCCAACTCGAATTTGTCCTATTTAAAAGGAAAAGACATCATTTGGTTAGATCACAGCCACAAAAACTATGATGTGTCTTGTATTTGTTTTATCATACCACTTCATAGAGGGCCATTAGAACTGCAAAACTACTCAGATGGTTACAAGAGCACACTGTATATTTGGGATTGGACTCGTTAACTTTACACCCGTGAGTAGACCACGCCCCTCCATTCATAGAAGAATTCCAGAACACACAATGGGATGTCTGGTTTAACTATAAAACATTACACAAGTTAGAAGAATTGCTCTATTCTGTATATTATATGTAATTCTGATCTCATGTAGCTACCTGTTGCAGATGATTTAATGTAATGAAGACAGGTTTGTTTAGGTCTGTTGTGTCCTGGTTACTAACGGTGACTGTCACTATGTTGGAGTTCAATATGTGTTTTTCTCTGTTCTGTTTTTTCACACCTTCAAAAAAGCCATCTGCTGATTCATTTAACTTCCTGTAGCTCAGAAATGACACTGCGGCAAAACCTAACAAAGCAGAAAAATCTAGATTAATTACATTCACCAAAGAATTCTAAACAAATGCATATTCTAAGACGGATACCTGGATACCGAGAGGGCTCCCCTGCAACTGTCTCCATCTCTATATCCAACTTGGTTTGCTTCAGTGATAATTCCACTCTTCCTTGGGGCAAGATGCTTCCTTTGTGCACATGCAGCTCCAAATCTATACACAAATATCACATTTTGAAAATACAAGCCAAATTTGAGGCACTGTAAATATAAAAAATAGAATAGGACTTTGCAATTTAAGAGATCCAGTCATTTCTAATCATGTGATCAGCTTGGTTCTTTTTAAGATCTATGGTCAATCCTGACAGTAAAAGCATCTAGAGTAGGAGAGGTTTAGAGTAGTAGTTTTTTATCTTAAGTGGCAATTATTAATTGTCTGCATTGTTTTTGTTTATGAAATTAGTATTGAAATGCATTTTAAGTGTTCTGAGGAAAAAGTGCAATCAAAAATTATGATCTTTTTCATATTACCCAACCCTGAAATAAAATGATAGGTAAATCCTTTACAATTCAAATATAATGGGTAATGTCGAACATTTTGTCTGCTATAACATGATTTTTCACCTTCTTTTCCTTTTATTATGTTTTGTAAGCGGTTTGTCAAGGACTATTTTTGGACATTTTACCCAATGCCAGCAACTGCAAATTGTAGATATATAATCTCTAAACTATTCTATATTCTACCTGTGTAGTTGGAGGATTTCTTCACTCCTGGGGGCGTGTTGAAGGGCCCAATGAGCCTCAAAATGCCCTCAACCGCATCCAAAAAGGTGGAGACTTTCCTGTTATCACGGAAAGGCTTGCCGGACAGGAGCTGGTCGATCAGGGGCAACAGAAGCTGCACCGCATAGACACACAGACAGACAGACAAAGAGAGAGAGACAGAGACAGGAGGGGAGAGGATCAACAAAAGCAATGGGTCCAGAAGACTCCATCCATCCCAGAATAAACAGGCTTCGAAAGTCCAAAAACAAAAGCTCTGGCCGGACACCGTTTCCTGTTTCTATGCTACTACCATTGTGGAAATGGTCAAGCTCCAAACAGTTATACAATTTTGAGTTTTGAGAAGTTCTTGCCAACTATGAATAAATTGGTTCTGTACACAGCAGCATGCTAGCTCACTGTGTCTCAAAGCGAACAGTCACTTTTTTTTTTTTATCGTAAAATATAAAATAAACCATTTAAAAATCTAATTAACTACAGTAAAGATTTCCCAGCAGTTTTTATATGTAAAACAGTTATGTTTGTGGCGTTGCAATATTCCTTATACCTCAAACTTAGCATTAGCGTTAGCAAGTGTCTGTCGCTGAAGTATACATTTTATTTGTGTACTTTTTAACATGTTGTCATGACATCCATCTACAGCTTCCTATTCACTGCCTTATCTTTAAATATTGATTCATTTTAGCATCACTTGGCAAAAACCATATAATGAAACTGGACAGGAAGTAGTGACACTAACAGTGTGATCGCTGTTTCCTGTAGTGCACGTAGCCTATTTGTGAAAGACTGGGTGAAAGAGAGCGTCCACCTAAATGTGGTAAAGTATGCATGAAGGTCTGCATGATACAAGGTGGAAGATTTTCTCTCAGTGGAAAAAATTATGAAAACAGATTACAGATAAATGTGAAATCTGATAAAAAAAAAAAAAAAAAAAAAGAGTTTGTACCTCTATCATCTCCTCTCCGTCAAGAATCGTGGATACTCTACTTTCTGAAATTTCTTTACATCGGTCTTTCAGTTTCACCATAAGATCATAAGCAGGGCCGAAGACCTAGGATGAGTAAATACAACAAAAACTGCTTTCATATAAATTAAAATTACAACATAATCACAAACAACCAAACAGATTAGGAGGTTTAGACAATTTACCGTTTGATTAAATTTTTACAAATCTATAATTGTCTAATCTTGGTAGCTAAGGAAAGTTGGGTTTGCCTGTTTAAATGTGGTATGTCAGTGACTTATTTGATTAGGTTAATTTATTTGCCATTTATAGTTATAAACTGCAGATAATTGAGCCAGCACGGACCGATATACTGTTTTGGTTGATTTTCTTGCCTAAAAATTTTACTTTATTTTACCACTTTAACTGCACTATCTGATACATAGCTGTCTTAAAGGTTTGTCGTAAAAAAGGCTGTGAGTGAGTTTCTAGTAGCCACATTTAAATGACATCATTTGGATAAAATTGGTTGCTCTGGATTCTAAACAATCGGTATCAACATTGCCCATGAGAAAACCCACATCAGTCGATCAGTATTTCAAGTGAATGAGTAATGCACAAAATTGGGAAGTGACTCTGAGCATCTGGAAAAGCGCTGCATAAGACAAATACAATATAATGATTTTTAAAAAAGTCCCAAATGAAATGTGTTGTAACAAGATAATAATGAACCCAGCATAAGCAAATAAAATGTTATCTTCATATATAAAGTAATTTATCATTTTTATGATCATACATATAATTGAAGCAAACTAATAGTGCATTATGTGAAATATGTGACTGTACCTTCTTCTGGCTGGTCATATCTTCCAATACATCACAGTTCAATTCTGCAAGTAAAGCATGCATGGTTAGTCACACTGGATGTTAGCAGAGTCAGTTTCTTTCCTGTCGTACCAGTGCAGCGTGACTGTTCAATGCCGTAGTTGGAGAACCCTGAGTGGCACACGCAGTAATGGCCCCTGGCTCCGAGGTGGCAGGTCCCATTCCCACAGATTGTGTTATTGATCACACAAATGTCTGGGGGGAAACAATGGCACAGGAAATGTTGTGTTTCTGTCAGTCTTCTGCTGCAGCCCTAACTCTCTCAAATAGGTCATTCAGCTATATACCGTACAACCCAAGTGCCATTGGGGTTGTATAGAGCTAAAGTTAGGAAGCTCAGTAAAGTATGTAAAAATTACAATCTGCCTTTAATATGTTAATAAATAAATGCTTAAATATGTGCAACAAATCATCATGTTTATTATTTTTTTATTATTATTATTTTATCTGGTTTGTGATAATTGATTGCACATATAAAATTAAATTAAAGGTCAAACAAATGGATGAGCAATATGCAACTAATTTTGAGCAACAATTCAGTAATATCTATTCAGATACATGAGTTATAATAAAGAAACGTGGTCTTATATATTTGTTCTTATATTTCTAACCTCATATTGCGCCGTATCAACCTTAAGTCTTAATCTTAATTTTTTCCTCTTAAATTTTTTTTGTATAGGTTTTCTAAAATCTCCAGTTTTTCTACTCACCTTCACATTGTTTATCATGGCTCAGTACAAATCCTTCATCACAAACACAGGAATAACTTCCATTTGAGTTTTTGCAAGTTCCATTTTTACCACAGATGTCCTTCTCTAGACATTCATCGCTGTCTGTTCAGAAGAAACCAATCAACATTTATTATGTTATACATCTAACCTTAATATGCACTGAGTGATGGTAATCTTACCTATACATGAGACATTGTCCACTTTGCGAAACACTTCTTTTCCATTGGATGAGACAAATCCATCACCACACAAACAGCTGTAACTTCCAGCACTGTTTATGCATGTAGCATGTGGACCACAGATGTCTGGATCCTCCAAACACTCATTGATATCTTCGAATAAAGGGAAACTGTCATTGAATTGGGAACTTTAAAGACAAACAAATTTTGGGAATGTCTTACCTATACATGTTTTAGAGGCTGAAGCATTGAATGAGACATTATTTTCCCCCTGAGTCCAGTATCCTTCGTGGCACCTGCAATGGAAGCTGCCTTCAGTATTGATGCATTTGGCGTTCTGGCCGCATTTTCCTTCAATGTCAGGATAATCTTCTTCATCCTGGCATTCATTCAAATCTAAAACAAAGAAAGTTAATTGTATTGTCATTATTGTATATTTACATATTGACTAAAACTTAACTCAACTTAATGGCTATTTTTGTAGTTATAGCTTTATCCTACCTTCACATTTACCATTCGTAAATTGAAGTCCTAACTTGCACGCTTTTGGGTGCGCCCCCGTGAGGCAGATGAGCAGAACTGCAAAACAATGAGGTGAACATTTCTGTTATAGCTCCTTCCTAATTTGAATGTCTTTTCCCATCATCAATAAGATTTGTGAATGTGCCTCAGGGAAATTAGCAGATAATTTTCAACATGTTAATAATGTGTATATCAGAAAGGTAAATGTCCTCATATTGGTTTTCTACTTCCACACATTGTTAGCAGCCACTGTGCCAAAATGAATAGCACATTGGAGTCTGCAACTGTGGCTTCCTATGTGTCAGGAAACATAGCATTATTACATCCTCTTCAGCCTAATGCAGACTCAGACTTCTCACCCAAATGTCCCACTTAATAAGCATAAATGAGGAGGAAAAGTCAAGAGAAATTCTAGGGAGAAAACATAGTATGAAATATACAGTATATAGCAGTGATTTTCAAACTTATAGTTGGCCAACTCAGTGTGATAACAGGAATATATCACAGGAATATAAATATCTATATCTGTCTGTAAATCTGTCTCTAAATTGTCTTTAAATTTATCAGTAAGTAAAACAAACAACTACTCAAACTACAGAAGGCCCAGAGTGGAACTCACCAGTTTGGGAACTACTATAAACAATACTTCTACTTGCTGTTGTAATTGCTGTTCTTGTTCCAAACACTATGTTTAGTGTTTAGTGTATGTTTACTATTGTCAGTACTTTTACTGAACACACATACTAAGCCCTCATTAAAATACTCACTCTGAAAATATACCAAATGTCCTTAATATGTCAGGCAAATTGGCAATATAAAACTAAATAGTTACACCACATCTGGACATAAGTTTCAAATTTCCAGCTGGTCCAACAGTTTCCCCAAGCACATGACAATTCTGGCCTAATCATTGGAAACACCCAGTCAGTCTTTCTCTGCTGCAGAGAGTTCACTACTTCAGGAGGTCAATTTCAGATGAGATCACTGGATATAAATATCTCTTTAGAGCAGAACAGTAGACCTCAGTCAAACCCAAGTTAGGCTGCTGTTATGATTCATGTGTGTAATAGTGATTGTAGAATATTTGAATAATTGATTCATCTATTCCAGACAATATATGTCAAGTCAAAAAGCCCAGCCCCTGCACCAAGTCTTCACCTCCACTCCTGAGCCCTGTCTCCTCTCACCTCTGCTCCCTCCTCTTCACCACTACCCCTGTAATATGTAAAATATTACATTTCATGTACTCATTTAAAACTGTATAAAAAGTTAATTATTGGATAAAAAAATATTGGTAAAATGATTGGTTAAAAATTATAGCTATTTAAGTTCATGTATAAAATGTATATCCTAAATATTATAAAATTCAATAAATATTTATATATATATATATATATATATATATATATATATATATATATATATATATATATATATATAATAAAAATAATTATAGCTAATGAAATTGTAAAATGTTAACTTAATTTCATTACACATTTATTTTAAAGGTTTTCGACCTGCTGCTGCTGTTGCTGCTACTGCTGCAGCTACTACAACTACTAATACCACTACTACTACTAAAAGAATCAAATTATTCCAATAAAAACTTCGAGTTGAGCCTTGTGTCTATTTCGCTGTTTTTTTTCCAAGTTGAACCTGCATTCCAAAAATAAAGACTTGACAGTTCTAGAAATGTAACTGCCACCACTAATATTTCACACTTTGCTGCTAAGATTA